CAATTTGGGAATTTTACCTGACCGACATACTTTTTTACCCGATCAAAGATGGTTCATCGTAATCCCGTATATTTTACCAAAAATTTCGTCGTGCGTATTTATGACGTGGACGCCATAACACATCTGTAGAACTTCGAACTCTCGCTTATGGTGTGATTATACTTTTTGTTATGCCAAGCAAAATATCACAAAAATAAGCACTTCCTGCTTACAGTTCCTCATCCACTCTTTCGCACGAGACCGTATCTAATTTCTAGTCTTGTTTATTTCCGTATGTACAATAAAGAGTCAAAACAAATTTTCTTTGATCGTTTTAGATGAGTCTGTATATTTTTACGAATTGTTGACTTATAGCTCACATGCTAATAAAATTCTTGTAACTTACAGAGTGAAGTTTTACAGACTTTTGTACCATCAAAACTTGAGCAATGTAGATGAATTATTTTGTACATATTGTGAGGGGATGGCATGAATCACTTACCACAACCTCAAAAAAATCGGCATTTTAGACCATTGTGTGTCTTCCAGTAAACGAAGGGCCCGACAGAATCCCACATTATCCGATTAATTGGAAAAAAAAATGCAATCACAGCGCATGACATATCAAAGTAAAGTTTTTCCAAGATCAAACTGCCATGTACCAAACCTAAAGGGTTGCTACTCGCTAGATTTTTATAATAACTATTTTTCGATGTTATGAAAAAACTTTTTTCAAGAAGAACGCCATTTTTTGTATATTGTAGTAATACAAGCTTGTTGCACTCTCTCATGTAAATCAAAACCATTCTATAAAAGAATACTTGGAGATATTTTTTTTCTGAGGACGACTAATGACCAAGGAATTCCTAGATGGTATTAACCCAGTTTTTTTTGAATAATGCTTCACATAACTTTTTCAACTCATTCAAACCCAACAAAAACAGAAACCAGTTTTGTCACCTCAAAGTCATCACTTCACGCCATCACTGGAATTTATTTGAATGTTTAATGTCATGTATAGAAATCATAGTTAGGTGACTCATGCGCTGCTGACATCGGTCTCGCATCTTTTCGACTGGTCTCAGTCTCAGCTGCGATCTTTTATCGCCAAACATCTTGAGGGCAGATACCTCCGGACTGATTCATACTCACCTTTCTCTTCCAAAATACAATTCATTATATTAGGGTGAACGGTAAAAAATGGGACACCTTGAGAATAATTGCAGATTTCTCAAGGAAGAAAAGTGACTGAACTTTCCAATTTTGATGGATATTAGAATAAATTATTCTCTTTCAGATAGCACCTATATAAGGTCATTTAAATAATTGATAATTTTTATACTTGCTAAAATGCAAAGTTAGTTACTTCGAGAAATTATGAAGTTTGAGCAGTATCGGCGCAGTGAAACATGTGAGACCACCCAAAGTACCGCTGCTGGAGTGAGTGGTGGGACAGTCACCAAACCCACGACGGCTTGGTGGCTTTAACTCTCAATGTCATGAGATATGCCCATTAACAGCTTCGAAAATAAAGATACGCGTTATTCAATTCTTTGCAGGTAAACGCATGATTTCTAGGTATCGTCTGATAGAGCTTTTTACGCTCTATCCATCCATATGCAGCTTACTTCAGATTTTATCTATCTTCGGAAAATATAGGGCAAAACATGATTTTTTGGTTTTTTGTTGCGCCAAAAATAGCTATTTTTCAGGTTTTTTCGAATTTTTTTTCTGAAATTGAAATTTAACATATCGTTCGAAAGAGCATGAAGAGCTCTTTCGAATGGTATGTCATTTGCTTTACGACTTTACGGTATAACAGCGCAAGATTGAGGATTGTGCAAAAAACTCTGTTCGAGTTCTTCACGGCGCCACGTGTAGGGTAGTGGAAGAGGAGCGTTAACGCGTTGTCAGAATAATAAGCGAAGGTCGCCCATGTAAGCGACGTTTAAGTTGCTGCTTACTTGCTATTGCCAGAAACAAAAAATTCCAAAATGTAATGAAAATCAAGCTGTCCCATTTTTTACCGTTCACCCTAATATTTGGCCTTCCTTGAAGACCCGAAGCTATTTTATCCCAAAGATCTTGTGAAAACAACAAAAAAGACAATCTACAGACTTTTTTATGTGGGTGAGGGCTTGTTTGAGCGAACATCTGTGAATTCCGCATTTCAGCGAAGAATCTCTATTTACTTTTGGCTATTCAACCATGGTCATCTTGACCACTCGCATCGTACCAACTCTTTCCCTCTACGATTTTGATGAGGATTTCATTTTCTCAATAACTTTACGCTTAACAAATATTCGAAGAATTTGAACTATGAAAAATTGCCAAGTTATGGTTGTAATGAAAGGTATTAAATGATCAATAGCACACCATATATACGTCTTTCGATTTCTAGATTCTCATTTGTACTCTGCTTCTTCTAGAAAGTTGCAGCTCAACAATTCTTTTGGTTTTTACGAGAGCTCGGCTTTTTAGCGCCTATCAGCATGATTCAAACTTCTAATCAACAAAAAAGAGAGTAAAAGTCGATTTTCCAACTATTCAATACTTGATTCAATCGAACTTTAAACAAAGTCCTAGTTTCTGAGTTCACATTTAGTCATTGATATTTGAGTCTTTAAAACGCTATCTCATTGTATGTATTGAGCTATTAATCTCAATAATGTTGAGAGTGAACCTGCACTTGCATCCATCATTCATCTGGAAGTTATCCACATCTTATCAACTCCAAAAAAATTGAAGTTGATGGATAGGGTCGAAGAATGAAGGAAGGAGATTAAGTGATAGAAGACTCTAAAATTTATGTTTCACAAATCCGTGGTATTGCCATAGCAGTTCAAATTTTTCCTATAGCTCTTGTCAAGTCAAGCTTTTCTTCTGCTGTTTCTGTGTTAATTCCCAGTAGCATTGTGGTCATTTACATCATTGCCGTCGTATTTACAAAGCACTTAGCAGCGACAATTGAGAGCAACCTATGAGGAAGCTTAACCAAGTCGGACCTAAGACTTTTCCGGTCAGAAGAAGATTTTCTGCCTATTATCTATCATTTATTAGCGAAGTAGCACCATAATAGAGTCTGGAGCATTTTAGTCACAATAACCATCTATCTTTTGTTTTTCATCTTCTTTACAACTTGAAGTTTGTAATTTGGACTTATTTTGAAATTTATATCAAACAGTTGAATTCCAACGCATGTGGAATCACAAATAAATGATGAGAGTGAGACTGTAACTATGACGTGAGAATTAGTCATCCTATTTGCTTTATCGTCTGTTCATTTCTAATTACACACTAGCAATTCAGCCCAGTCACAGCTTTGTCTAAGTGGCTATTATTCATCAGCTGAAGTTTTCGCTCTTTACCCTGGTTTTCAGTTTCTACTAGACTTTACTGCGTGTGTTTACGCACACTATCAAACTAAACTATCATGTTTTCTAAACACAGACAAGCTGTGAACAAACGTAACCCTGCTTCGGCTTTCGCTTGCTTCATCACAAATCTACATTTAGCAAATTCATAACAGAAGATGATTTTTGGAGATTTTCTTTTCTTTTTCAACTTCCTTTCTCTTTCCGCTGTGGACATTTAACACTATAACTCTTTTATATAGTAGTACATTTCTATGCTTGAAAAGTGCTCATGAATCTTGCACACCGTAGGTATTACGCCTAAATTTGAAGTTAAATTTGTTTTCATTTTATGAGAGAATTTTCTGAGCTCTGCTTCAAGCTCGAACTTTGTTTTTTCTTATTGCTGTAGTTTTCCATTTTGATGCCATCTATCAACTCTCATACGTGTAGTTAGATCAGGGCTTGTTTGCAACAAGTCCAATATATAATGTCCAGTAACACTAAGTCCTTGAAGAAGCTGATGTCATGTTTTGTTCAACCTTCTTTGAGTTTCCTTTTTGTTCTTTGGTGCTCCCTGAGTGTATTAGTAAGATAAGATAAAATAAAATAAAATAGAAAAATTAAAATAAAATAAAATAAAACAAAATAAAATAAAATAAAATACCCCAGTAACACCAATGTTCTTTTCCGAATTTCTTTTCCCATAGTTCCATACTTGACAAAACACTTTTGAGGTGAATTAGCTTTACATACAATTCTTCTCACTCAAAAAACCACGAGTTTTTATTCTAAGAATTATTGGTCGATTAAGCGAAATTGCGGTTGATGAAAGGTCTAAACTTCTGTTTGAACATGAGTGTGGTCTCATTTACCAAGAGCAATAATCTTTTGAAGGAAATTCGAAAGATTCTAGACCATAATAAATGGGCGAAAGTTCTTTCGCCCATTTATTATGGTTACAAAAATTATTATTTAAAGGTGACCTGTACAGATTTATGTAAAGTTTTAGAGTCAAAAGCATGTTTGTGCTACCCCGTTCTATTTCGAGTTCTGTGATATTTTGGAGATAGAAAATTTGTTACATTGAAGAATGCATTGCATGCACTGTTCATCTGGATCACCTATTTTTGACTATATCTGGAACCTTAATTTGCTGCAGAAAGGCCTTAAATAATTTTTTTGTGACTTATGCCACCACTATTGCAAACACACTTTATTAATGCAAACAAACACAGCTTTAATATTGCGATTTACTAATATTGTGCCGCTGACAACCGCTCTGACACCTATAGCAAACTTGTCAATTCCTTTTTCTGTTTGAACTGCTATATCGCTCCATTTCTGAAAAGGTCTGAAACATGGCTAGTGAATAGTTTTTGATATGTCCTTTTCTTCCAATAAAGATGAAGTGATTCCCGCTTTTTCAAGTATACGATAAAGTAATCTACTAGAAACCTCCACCCTAAGGGTGACTAGCGATGTTGCAGTTCAAAACTTATGCATTTTTTCCAGAAACTGCATTTGAACGAAATCCCAATACGATGCTTGATTGTTCCCTTTTTGGCACCAAATGCATTTATTGGCTTTCTATTCTCTTTATTCAACACATGCGCTTTTTGAGATCGTCAACCATCGTTTATTTGTTTCTCTTCAAGATCTCTCTTTTCAGAAAATCATGCAAAGGGGTATCATTGCCATACTGGGGCTTGTCATATTCGGCATGGCCGTAATAGGAACGATAACATGTACGTTAATTTTTTTTCTTGACTAACGAGCAAATCGGTTAAATAACACTTTACAGCCAGTTTCGTAGAGATAGACAGTGAGCCAGTCAGAGAATTATCTATTGACAAAGCACCAAGTGATGATTCCTTACGATTGATCGTTGTTGGAGATACTGGAGGTGATTAATAATTCTTTCCGGTCCTGAAATGAAACTTTATATTTCAAGGATTACCTGTCTATCCATACTTCTCGTATGCGCAGAAGAGAGTTGCTAAAGCTATGGAGAAATTGGCGGAAAGTAAAAAGATTCAGTATGTGATTAACGTTGGTGATAACATCTACTTTACCGGAGTGGAGAACGAATACGATCCTCGTTTTAATGTAAGTTAGTTTAGAAATGAAAACTTCCATCATATCATCTTCTCATTCGCTCGCTTTAATGGTACATGGCACAAGAGCATTCCATGCAGAATTTTTTAACGGTTGTGTTTTCAAAATGACTTATTTTTACTAGTTCTTTGATATGACCAAGTTCTGTATTCGGACCATTCATACTTCGTGATACAGTAGTAAATAATTTAGGTACTAAGAATCTTAGTAGCGTAAGGCACAACGAGTTAAGAAAAGTAAAAAAATTATTTTGCGAATCAGTAACTACGAATCAACAATCAACAACAATCAATATAAATCAATAATCATCAATATAAATAAATAACTGCAAATCTGCGAATCAAAAAAGACGTGGACAAATCTGACAATAAATACAGACACAGGATTACTATGTGCTGTAATTGGTCCTTATGCAAAAGTTTCGATTTTAATAAAACTGCTAGATTAAAACTGTTTCTATTCATATAAGCACGCTGGCCAACGATGACCAGTGTCCAAATCCGAAAAATATATTCGTGATTATTAACACATTGACGACCACTTGACACACATGGTGTGTCAAGCAATGACTACCATGTGGGCCGCTTGACACACCATGTGTGTCAAATCTTGAATTTTGTTAAAATGACTACTATTCTGGGAAAAACTCACTCCATGAGCATTCTTTTGCGCTGAATCTAGGAATGACCTCTACCAATTTTGTCAGCTTTTCAGATGTACTGTAGGATGTAGTGTAGACGGCAGTATGCGTAATTATAGTTGTAAAATATGGGCTGGTCTGGAAGAGGCCTTGGTTCCAGAAGGCAGACAGCTAAAAATCTGTGGTCGTCAATGTGTTAAGCTGAATCATTTCTTAGTCTTACCGACTAGGCTTGAGTTTTTTTTTGAGTAAAGAGTCTGATGGGTATCTACTGTTCATAGGGTAGAGGTTAAATCCTGTTTCTGATTAATGACTGAAAATATTTTTTATCTGGAGTACTAGTAACTGGACTATTCTTTTCGCACGCCATTTTGTAATATCCTTGTAATAAATGAGGCCTTCGATGAAACGTTTGTAGTCATATGAAAAAGTGAAAAAGTGAAACCACAAACGATAAGACCAGACAGAGATGCCCACTTTTTGCTCTCTGGGTAGTTTTGTACAAATCATGCGTCAAAGTAAAACCTTCGATAGTAACACTAGCGTGACGGAAGTGATGATAATGACGCAGACAGTTTTGGAAAAAAATTAGTGGCATAAACTTGGCAATATTCCAGACGACATTCGAAGAAATATACGATGGAAAGGGACTGAACATACCTTGGTACATGATCGCTGGCAACCATGATCATTTCGGCAATGTTTCAGCTCAGATTGCTTACAGCAAATATAGCAAGAAATGGTAAGTACCGTAAAAAGAATTTGCTTACTTGCTCAAAAATTTTCAGGCACTTCCCAAAATTGTACTACAAGCTTTCATTTTCACTGAAAAACTCGTCTGTCGATATCCTAATGATAGATACCATTGTGCTTTGTGGAAATACTGCTGATATACAAAATGGTGGCTTCTTCGATATGTTATGGAATAGATCACATCATCCCGAGGTTTGAACTCTTTCCACACTGCGATTACACATATGACTCCTTTTAGGGCCCAACTGATCCGAAGAAAGCAGAAGAGCAATGGAGATGGATAAATGAAAATTTGAACTCGAGCAAGTAAGTGACTACTTCCCTTTCCATTTGCGCTACAAGTGAAGTGCGACTTTAGAGCCGATTACCTCTTCGTTGCTGGTCATTACCCTATTTATTCGATCTCCTCACATGGACCCACACATTGTCTCATAGAAAGGCTGGATCCTCTGTTGAAAGCTTACAATGTGTCAGCTTACTTCGCCGGACATGACCATAATTTGCAGGTAAGTAATGTCGAAAGTTGTCCTCCTTCTATGATGACAAATATATAGTCGTAAAATTTGTCCTCCCTTCGCCACAGTCAAAAGAATGAATAAAGTGAAAATTCTTCGTTAAAGCTCAACTATTAAGATAAAGTGAAGACCCTAATTTTCCCTAATTTTCGATTGGTTTTCTCCATCATACAGTGTTAGATAGACATGCGAATATTTTCGGGTCACCAGTAGTGAAGGAAAATTGCTTAGTAGAGACAAAGGAGAAAATTCAAAGTAAAAAGGTTAAGTAGCTAATCTTCACATATAAGCACTATTTGTGATGCAAGCCTCTCCTCATAACAAGGGGTCGAGAGCGCTGGTTGTTGCGTAATCGGGCGCGGCAGTGTGATCGCGCCCGGACCTCTCCTGGCCCATTGCCAAGCCCAAGGGTATATAAAGCCGCGCGGAGCCATGTGTGCTTCTTCGAGTTCGTTTGTTATTGATTATTCTTAGCAGTATCGTGCCCAGGGGCGCCCCCATTAGCTTTTGGAGATGGATTTCGGATCGAGCGATCGAGCCTTTGATAAGCTTCCTGTGTGTAGACCGGGCTCCTTAGTGGTTCACTGTAAATGGAAACAGTCGCGGAAGTGGAGAAGGATCTTGCCGTCTTAGAAGGGCTTGGAACTTGCGAGTGATGCTGTGGACGAACCCTGAGTTTCAAGTTGGAAATGAGAACTTGGGACATCAGCCTGCCCTTAGACGGAACGGGGCGGCCCGTCACATGCCTCCCTTATTGTTCTAGTAGTCGGTAGATTTTGAGAAATTCATGTTTTGTGTTTTTATGTCGTTTATAAGCGTGATTATCAAGTTTAGCGTCGTGATATTATCGTCGTACGATTATTGGGAAGGCTTCGAGCGGAAGCGCTAGGAAGTGCACACTAATATAGACGCGTAACTTTTTAGGTACAAGATTGTCAGGCAGATGAGCACTAGGGCGAGAGGTTCGAAGCACATTGAGCCTCAAGAAGGTGTAAGAATCTACGCGCTATAATAGTAATGGTAACCTCAAATTTAGGTAACCAAATAGTAGTGAGTAATCTATTGGCGGTCAAAACTCTGAGCCAAAATATCAAATCGTTTCTTCACTTCCCTTCAGTACTGTCCACTGCTTGCCCTATTAAACTCTGAGTCTGACATTTTGAAACTTAAATTTACTATACTTGTTTGAAAGTCACCTATTTGAAAGCTATCATTGTAATTGTTGATAAGAGCATTCTCATGAATTTGGCAGCAGGATCAATAATCGATTTTGAGGACCTTTGTTAGTTCCTCAGTTATCTTAAGTGCATGTTAAGACTTTCTCTTTACATAGGAATGGCTCATCCTGTGCTGCGTCCATCGTTGAGCTGGTACTTCAGCGCTTTAAAAATGCGCTCATATAATTCCTTATGAGTCAGTTTAATTGATAAGGATTATATATTAGTTGCTTTTTCACTGAACTAAATTGTATTTGCCAAATTCAGGTTATCCAATTAATTTACAAGAAGATAAGCCGTTTATACAGTCCTATAACTTCAAATCTAAAGGTTCATCAACCTTTCCTTCAAGCAGGGATAGGATTTCTACAAGATATAGATCTCATTCCCTCATATCCTTAACATCGCTATTCTTACAGCACATCGTATTCCCAAACGAGCATGGCCATATTGTGAATTATGTAGTTTCTGGTGCTGGTTCACGCTCTGATCGTGCCAAACCTTATATTAACGCACTCGCCAAGGAAAATCTCAAATATTAGTAAGTCTATCATTTTTTCTGTTCAAATAATTTTCATTTGAGGATGGCGAAAGGAGAAATCGTTCTTGTTTTCAGCTATCCAAGTAACTGGAATCCATTGTCGCAGTTAGGCTTTTCAAATGGCGGTTTTGCATATATGGAGATCACAAAGGAGAAAGCAGATTTGACTTTCATGACGGGAAAAGGCGAGGAGAAATACAGCCTGACCATCAGCCCAAGAGTACACAAACGCAAATAGTTGATTCTCCATGATATCATTGTTATATTCCATAATTATAGAATTTTGTATTTTAAGCAATGCGAGCACCAAGATCGAAGTACTTACCTAAATTTTAGAATCAGGTCTGCAACCTCTATGGCATTCGAAAACTCTTGATTTATTCCGCACTTCAGGCTAAATATAAAATTTTTTCAAAAACCATCTGTAACACCTTCTTCATGCATCAACAGAAAAAGTTTTGTGGAACTTGTTAGACTTTTCTCAAGGCCATATAAGTTCAAGTTCGTACTGCTAAAAAATGTAAGTTTTTTGCATTAGCGTTGTTAAGAAAATGATAGTGAATTACTGAGGATACTGAATTTGGAGCTCAAAGAAATCACCATAAAATTTGCCCCTTACTCTGCAAAATTGTGTAGAATATCTCCATTTGGAATTCGATCGAGTGCGGAAGATGAGCACCACAAAAGAATTTTTGAGAAACGCAAAATAGATCTTTTTCTTTGAATCCTGATAAGAATTTTAGTAGTAATCGCATCAACAAACGCTTAAACGCACTGTCCAAGCAAATATGGGTTGAATCCAAACTCCAGCCCAAACCATAACTTTCTAACAACCAGGGTATCCGAGCTGAAGTTTAGTTTCATCCTTGAGTGAGGTATTTGAGCTGAAGTTTGGACAGTGTCTATACTGAGTTCACTTACCCAGATTCGCGTGGACATATCAAAATCATGTGTGCTCTACTACGCTTTATCCTCTATTGTACTTATCCTTCAATGAAATACCTGCAAGGATGTGCGTGTCACTGAAGCTCGTAACCAATTTCATTGAATTGCCATATAGAAGCCCTGCTTAACACCTCTATAAGATTCCCATGTCATTAATTGTATCAGTGTATTGAATGACAAAAATGTGTAGTGCGTGAGACCAATTTCGTTGTAACAGGTTTTACTACTCTTGGGAATTGTGCTTACCATTGTTCACCCGATTCCTCTCACGATCTCGATTCCTTCACGATTGCTTTATATTTCCCATCAAGTTTTCATTTTCATTCGAACAGTGTATCTCAATGCCATTTGTCGTCTTAATAAAACCTCTTAATATGTATCTACCTGTTTTTCTCCCGAACTGCATGCAATGTGTTCCTATTGTAAACTATGACGAGAAAAATTGGTGGATCTGAAGCTTTTGTTTTCAAATTTATGACTGTATAATTACAATCTCATATATTTTCCTCGCTTCGCTTCTAATTGCTTGAAATTATAGCGATGCGAGAAATTTTTCCGAGGAACGGGGTAGAAGGGCGGGATGCGACAGGAACTTCTTTCGAATGATGGGCTAACGCCACTTTGGGAACTTTCGATAATTTTCGCCGGCCTATCATAACAGAATTTGAAGAATGACGTTTTGACGTTGACTATGAAATGACGTTTTATTTTGTGACGTTCTTTGCATTTTTCTGCATTTTTCACGAAAATCATAACTTTTCATAGAAGAGCTCGACCAGCACAATTTAGCACTGTTAGAAAGAGCAGCTTTAAAACCTGTAAGAAACATGCTTCCAGAATTTTCTGCAGCGTTTCAGGTTTTTGAGAATTTATTTTCGAATTACGAGTTTGAGTGGTTCTTCTATTCGAATTTTTACCTGAGGAATCTTTTGTCGTCAAAAAACAGTGAGGACAACTTTTGAAACTAAATAAATTTTTCTTTCTAGAAAATTTTTTTATAAGGAGATGCGCTCACTCAGAGAGCAATTACGAATTTTTCAAAACCATAGCGACAGAACTCTCGATTTAACCCAACATCTTCAAAGTTTTAGAAGTTATCTCATTAATTTAGAATTAAAAGAAGTGGTTTGCTCAATATAACTTATGTACAGGGTACGCCAAAATTATTTGCTTCAAAAAATTCAAAGTAGTGTCACAACAAAGGCAATGAGAGATTTGGTCTGGATCTAATGTCACAGAATGCCGTAAGCATACTTCATAAAGGGCACTATCAAGATCCCAAATCGGTCTTTATTTAGAGAAGTAAAATTTCAAGAAAGAACGTTCGCTGCCGAAAAAAGGCATGCTGACGCAAATGGTTAAATAATCAAAATTTTGTCTTGAATGCGCCTAAAGATTCCAAATCTCAGTGATCTTAAAGTTAAAGACTGGCTCCATTTTATAGCGAAATCTTTACCTGAGATAAGCGATCATTAAAAAGATATATGCTGGGAAAATTTGTGAGCCTCTACCCGCTGCAGCACGCGACAGAGTCAGAAAAATATTATGAATTTTTACCGAAAGGCAAACCAGGCAATTCCACATCTTTAATTAGGATACAGTGGTATAGAACCAAGAAAACGATATTAAGCTTGATCTCTCACGGAGTCGGTCTTATATTCGTATGGCGCTTAGATATACACGCGCAAATAGTTGTGGCGCACCCTGTAGGCTACTTTACGGAAATCTCGTTACTTATTGATGAAAAAGGGGGGGGGGGACATTTTGAATGTTGCCCAAATGACTGTGAGATTGTTTTGTTTGTTGACAAATTAGCCCAACGAAAAACCTTTTCAGAAGGAAAATGAACATCTGAAAAAGCCTTCATCGATTACCCCTTCCTCCTACCTCCCTCGAAATGATAACTGATACCGCCACTGTCATCATAAACACAATGGCTAAGTAGAATAGAATATCCCTTACCTCATGTTCTGGGCTGCGTGTACTTTATGCCTACATTAATCACGATATGTTTTGTGGCCTTAAGTAGCCAACATCTGTCGCAATTTATGTCTTTAGTGCAATGGTCTCGTTCTCATAATAATGATGTTCTGAGTTCGACCTATCGAGAAGGCTAATATCACAAAAAGAGATAAAGAGAAAAACCGAACTAAAAACAAGCAAGAGTTTTACAGAGAAAAGAGCGGAAGAAAAAAGAAAAAAAGAAGGAAAGGACCTGTTTGCTAAGGAATTTTTACGATTCGAATAGCATAACAAAGTTGCTCGAACTTATAATTACTTCTTCTTATTTCTGAAATTCGAGTATAATGCTGGACAACCTTTATTGACATGTAAGAAGCAATAGCGGTACAGGAATTTTGTTGTGGATTTGGGAGTACTAGATAATCAGTAAGAATTCAAAGCTACTTCGATTTTCAAAAACTTTGTAAGTTTTATCTTATCTGTATACCGTGCCTTATACTCAGGCAATCACAGGCTCTCAGCCGGCAGCCACAAAGCCACCGCGCTTTTGGTGGGTTTTCGCGGTGGCTTTGTGGCTGCCGGCTGAGAGCCTGTGATTGTCTGAGTAGTTTGCAAAATTACTCCGAAGGTTTGCGATCCATCCTCATTTCCCCCCATTTCATACAAAGACGGAACACGAAGATACATCCGAGAAACTCATGACTTAAGCATCAAGTTTTTGTAGCCTGGACCAAGATGGTCTTCTAACAGAGCTGGGAAGGTCAACAACCATTTATTATGTATCTTTCAAATGTGTCTTTTGCTGCAGTACTAATCTAGTAATCAGATGAAATCAAAACCCACATAACAGATCGTAGAGACTTACCTTGAAAATGACGAGTTTTTCTTGGAGAGCTATACGATACTGATTCTACTAACTAGGTTGAAAAGGAACCGCCGACGCAAACTTTAGCTACTTAGTCCTAGTTTAGATAGGCGTTGGTAAAGAGTATTCTTTGTCACCTACAAGACTTCTTGTTTCCTCAGTTTTTTCAATTTTGGATTTTTTGCGGATATCTACAACGCCTCAAATATTTGCTGCTACAATTTCGAGTTCGTGCGACAGACTTGTGAACTTTATTTCAAACGTAGCTTGTCGCGGTTTTCTGGCGGTGAGCCCAAACGCTTTTTCACTGAGCCCATCTAAATGTTTTTTGACACGAATTGAGAGAGATCGTCTCATTTCATCTTACATATGAAACAAAGGAAGTTATTATATCACGCTGTTACTGTGCAATGTCGTCACCACTGAAACGGCAATCACATTATAGGGGCTAATGCAAAGGCGATAAAAAGCTTGGAGTAGAGCATCAGCCAATCTCGTTTTGGACTTTTCGTGGGACAGCGCAACGCTAATAGAAACCTGAGCCATCCTGACGAGGGCATATCCTAACCACTTCAACCTCCGACACCCAAGGAAAAAAAAGGAACAAGCCGTCCCTTACCGGTTCCGTTCTTTCTGACCACTTGGAGTTCGCGATCAGGAGCATGCCTTGCTATTCAAATAGCCATAAACTTCCTAAACATGACCACGATTATGACCTTTTTGGTAGGTCGCGGATGTGCAGAGAGACCACGTTATTCCTGATACTTGGTTCATGATACCATTTCGCTTTCCATTTTCATCTCAATAGGTGCACAAGCACATTTAGGAAAAGCACTTTTCCATAGGCTTTTCTGGTGTACTTTGAACTGAACGATTGCCAACTAAACTTGTAAAAGATCAATGCTATCCTGGCTCAGACTACAAAGTAATTAATATATATCAAGAAAGTGTGCCAAGTTTTAAAGATTGTCATACTCTTAAAGTCATTAAAGCTTCCAAATGTGCAATATTCGCAAGATTATTCTTTTAAATAATAGGTGACGCATCGCAAAACGAACTCTTCATCAGGAAGCGACGACTGAACACGCTACGAACTTGTGGAACAGCCTAATACGTGAATAGCAAGATGTCAGCTTGATTCCTATAGACAACTAGCTGGCAAACCTAGCTTCGCGCGGCTCTGTCAATTGTCAAGGAGAGTTGGCTTCTTTCTCACACAATAATAGTTGGCCTCAGGGTAGCGCTATTGCGGGGCTCGGCGTGGTGTCTAGGGCTATGATGCAATTCCTTTACTAAACGATCCTCCAGGCGATCGGCGCGTCCACGCTTCGTCGGTTTGGTTCCTCGATTGAGATCCGACCGCACTCCTCGTAGCACCGACAGCGAAACTCACTTGAGCCAAGCGGAACCGCCTTATAAGGCGGCCGAAAAGATGTACAGGCACTCGATCGCGTGTCCCAACACGAATCAATCGAAACATAGTGAAATTATTGAAACACCAATCAGACGCAAACAAATCGACTAAGTGAGACTAGACAAACATAATAGAAAACTACGCAAGTACAAAGGAGGTCGGCGACTTCACACATTAATATTTTCGTAAATTAGCATGCACTTAGCCTTCTCCCCCCCCCCCCCTCCCCCCTCATCTGTGCCAAATCCCAGCCTGGTAGAAAACCTGACAAAAAATCGATAAATATATATATATATATATATAGATATCCATCAATGACGAAAATTAGCCTACAACACTCACCCTCCCCGAAGTGTATGTGTGCCAACTTTGGTCCAGATCGGTCCAGAAATAAATTTTCTATTCGGAACATACGTACACACAGACACGCAGATATTAAGCTTTTTATACAGATGAGACAAATTTGATAACCTTTGGGATGGATCGAAAATTTGGCCATCGTACTATATACTATGTCATGCGGTTTGGGTCATAGCGCCTTTCGTACTGATAGTTAGTTTTTCCTTGTCATACTTCCTGACTTTGCTATCAGAACACCACCAGCTGGCACGAACGAGTTTTTGAATGTTTGTACTGATCTTGAAGAAATGTAAAGATCTGTTTTCAGCCTAAAAATGGTCACAAATTTGTGTGTCGAGCATGCGGTGAGGAGTGGTAAGCATTGCTGTAAGGCATATGTTTGAGTAATTTTTGTAATTTGCATCTGTTATCTATTCCATTGAGGGCGGGTGCCGGTCAGAGGGTGTGGTTTACTAATGTAGTGAGTGTGTTAAATGCAGCTCATATTAAGAGGAGGTTCAAAGGCACGCAGGGCACAACGCTATGCCATTCCGCTTTTTCAGGGTTTTACCACAAGTTATTGCACTTCTCTAAAAAATTCGCAACCAAGCTTTGTACTACTTGCATGACTTTTCTCTTCTGGCATGTGGCGCACTCATTTTTATTCACTTTTGGCCAATGCAGATTAATAGAGAGATAGAGATGTAAACATAACTTACAACAGCATACATGTTAATACAAATAAGATACTATTCAATTTATGGTACAAAATGGAAAAGTAATATTATGTATTTCCAAAGCGCTCGGTTTCGGGAACTTACTGTGCTAAAAGCCAAAATGAGACCCTTTCCGGCATGATCATCTCAACCATTTTCTGCCAAAAAATTAAATTGTGCTGGGGCATGCGTACCCTTCGGCCTGGTGTGTTTGCTTCGGATTGCAAGCGGCTTTCTTTTTCGTTTTAGCCCAAGACCTTAGAATAAATGCATAGAGCTGCAAAACAGGATGATCTTGGGAGGGAGTTTTTCTTACCAATACCAGTATGCTTTCTTCAATTTTTACATCCGTTCCATTTCCTCTCGCGTGAAACACTTCGTCCGCGCTTGAATGTGGCACACTAAATCAGCATGCTCTTCTAATAAAACATCTCTGTTAGCGAAACAACGAAGCTAGGTTGCCGTTTCTTTGATGCACTTCTCGAATTATATCTATCAATAGGTATCACCTAATTTCAAGTGTGTTATATTTCAAGTAGCGCATTTTTCGGTTACCGTAATTATTACCAGTTGAACATCCTATCTTATCCATTTATATAATACATTGTCAGCAATCCATTACAAGAGAAGATGATTTTTATAAGGCTTCAGTAGTTGATAGTGGTGCCGTGGACGTATAGGCTGTATCATCAAGCATCGGTCTCAACCCATGAGAGAGGCAAAGCGCGCCGCAGGCGGCAGAAGTGACACTAGAGCGCAGAAACTGACCTGTTGTCAGGTACAACAGCAATCATCCACCAGTCTTTTCTTTATTTTATCTAACAGTTTGTTTCCTTCAATGGTCTTGCCTCGCTTATAATGTTCATTTCAGTGATAAGACATCGAAAAAGAGCGGCAACGAGAGGCATCAAACGCGGCACGTATCAGTAAAATCACTGTTTCTAGGTAAGTAGGGAATAAAATTACAGTGTAAATAGCTAGTGCATAAGAGGAATGCTCGCGTGCTTTACTAACCAGGTAAATCGAAGAAGATAGGGGTAGAGGACTATATGTCGCCAAGAAAGGGCGGTCCCCACGGTCATTTGCGACAAATACGCACCCTTGTACATGCGCGGACATGCGTTCCCGTAGGGAATCCGCGCAGGACTCTTCCAAATTCGGCGACATAAAATCCTCCACCCAGAAGATAGCAGGCTTATTTTTAGTAAAGCAATATGGAAAATAACTCAAACAGCTCGCATGCATAACCTCATTTCGTGGGTTCTGCGACGACGATGTGGGTTCCTGCTGGGTGGCACAGCCTATATTTTGACCGCAAACAAAAACTCAACAGACACTCAGGGAAGCTAAATGTCCAAGTGAACAAAGAAACGAGCTAGATAACAAGTTTGAGTCACTTTACGAATTCGCCCATAGGTCAGCTTGCGCGCCTCAGGTACTATTTCCGCTGCTTGTAACGCGCGTGCGTAACCTCATTGTGGGTTCTGCGACGACGATGTGGGTTCCTGCTGGGTGGCAAAGCCTATATTTTGGAATCGTTCCTTTGACGGAGGTCCATCACTTCTTCTTGCCAACAATTGCTTCAGAGATATCAAGTTGGTCTTGTTCGTTGGATGCTCCTTTGAATTCCAAAAGTCAACCGATGGACTAGATACGATTTCTTCCTTCTGATAGTCATTTTCTTCTTGATGAAATGTCAGAATTAGCAGTTAGCCGACCGTTTGTGGAAAAGTGGAAAAAAAAGTCGTTCATAATTCAAATGCTGGAATTTTGTGTTCTATAATTAGCGCTTTTGTTGATTTAGAATGGTATGTGAGATCTCAATGTTACAGTGCAAAGTTTGAGATTGCAGTAGTGTCGATTACAGTTAATTATAACCCGCGATGAATAGCAAGGCATTTTGCTGCTATTTCTTGGAGACTCGTTTACCACTAATAAGGAAAACTAAGCTAATTAACTATAGCTAACATAACTTAGCTCGGTCTTTTAGCTAGGGATATATGTGTATTCTAAATCAGCTTGAAGCGCTGACCGTGCTTCATTCTAAAGCGAGTTATGGGCTTTTTCATGCGCAAATTGGCATACTACTGTACATGGAAAGAGTGCTTGTAGATAAGAATCTGCAAGAAAAAAGTGATGAGATGTTGAAATAACACAAATCCAATCTTTTCTCACTAAAAAGAAGCTCAAGGCAAGTGTATGAGCACTTAGAACGATGTCGTAATGCCAGTGAGTCGATGAGTATGCCACTTTTGCGCAGGAAAAAGCCCACATCTTGCTTCGGCATGCGCGGCAGCTAGGAATAACATACAAACGATTCAAAGCATCTAAAGTCTGCGGACCTATCGGCGTCTCACTGATTCAGTGCTCTTTCGTTTCTCTTACCATCTGCTGCCTCTCTCAAGCACGAACTATCTTGGCCGACGCAACGGCGCCCAGTCTTTACGTGTCAGGAATCATGTATACTTGGAATCGGCGTTTGTAGCTGATTTACAATATACATATGTACACGCATGTCCTTTGCCAAAAGGCGAAGCTGAGTTAGGTAGTTTCCCTTGCAAGATAAATTTTGAGTAGGCGGCAGACGGAAAATTTTGAGTTTCTTTGAACTTGACTTTTGTTTCTTCCAATGAATAGATGGCAAGTGCAATTCAAATTGCAATAGTTTAGTCAATTTGCAAAAGTAGGATATTTTCAGTGGTATTTTCACTTGTTCTGTTCTTTCAGTCCCTGAAAAATTGTGAATCGATAAACAAATTAGTTTAAAAGAACGACGCACTGTTTCCTAATGTAGGGTTACTAGTCATTGTAGATACGCGTCCACAGTAGGACGAAGGGTGGTTTTTTCAGTGTTGCAAAAGAGGATTAACTTCCAGCGCATAAGTTCTGACTAGTCATGTGACACATTTGACGCATAGACATCTGGCAGCCGTTTTGTTACTAATTTGAAAAGGAGCGAGGGTTATAGAGTTCAGCCGCAGGATAGTGTCTATGACTGGCTTCATCTGATCTCGAAGCGCTCGAATTGTGCGCTGTGTTGGAATTGTTCCAAAACTCACGGATGAGTATGAACCCAGCCTACGTTGCACCTCCATCGAAAAGCTGGTACCCAAATTTCCACTCAATCCTATTCATGGTCATATTTGAACTTATGCACTTACGTAGGCAGACAAAGTTGTACTTTTGTATGTGTGCTGTATATCTCTGTGCGTGGGAGGAGCCTAACAATGGCAAACGATTTGACCACTCTATCATAACCTTCTTTCCAGTTTTTTCAAACGTTATTTTCAGGATTGCTGGCGTAGAGGAATGTTGCTTTGTAACAAACTTGTTTAGCTTCAAAGGTTTTCAGTTTCTATTACTTTATGTTTCAAATTCTAAAGCTTGGTTTTCATGCGAATTATATGACTGCACCCAATTTGCAAAAGTACTATCCTCCATTGAAAAAGCGTCGCAAACTCGGATAATGAAGGCAAGTGGTACAATCGCAAAGAGCAAAAAGGAAATTTATTACGAAACCAATACTTGAGCACGTTCCCTTCAATAAGAGGACGGTTGTTGAAAATATTTGTGAAATGTTGGAATAAAGTGAATTGTGATAAATATGCGAATCAAAAGCTTTCACTCTCGCCTCCTCTTATTTTGTTTCTTCGTCTCATTCGAAGCGTGTGTCCGACTTTCATCACACGAACCAGCCACCTTCTTCTCAAAGAGAGGGTTTCAGAGCGCTCTGAGGTAGGTCCATCATAAAATACGCAAGAGCAGGGTTTGGGTAGAGTAACGGATGGTCATTGACAACCACATGCATGCTGCGCATTTACAGCTTCTTTGCGAATGCCTTGACCGTCCTCTGGAATCTTTGTGACTCATGATTTTTTATTTTCTGACGCTTCATTTACATATTCAACACATGAATCAAACATGAATGATTTCCATACACTATTTTCACATTGTAGCGCTGTCTCCTATAAGATTCGTATTCTATCTTTTGACGTAGTACCAAATCGAATTACTTATCTGCACTTAGCGCTGGTTTTTCTTCTGACGTTATTAGTTTGAACTACAGGCGTAAATCAGGTGCCTTCAATCAGGTATTGTCATCCATGTCATGCACATGATATGAATGCAGAAAAAATTTTAAAACCCCCACAATTTTGGCATAGCACTGTTGTATCAGTTCTTTTTTCACTTACATCTTACTTTTCCAAATGTTCCCACTTTGCAGTGCAAGTCTTTAAAGAGATTGAATGTTTCTCAGACATGTCAATTTCCGGAAGCACAACATATGGACTGATTATCTTTTATCGATTGACGTTCAAATGTATATGCGAAGTAAAAGTAAAAAGTGGAAATAAAAAGCAAGATCGTGATTCAATCTTCATAGTCAGCTATTCAATCTTAAAGTGCAAGATGCTAAAATTTACTATCGGTCTGCTTTTCAATTAACAATATTACCCTTGCTGGAGAATCACAATCGCATTCAACGATAGCCTCCCTCCTGCTGAAAACAGCGAAATTTTTGCGTGGTTTACATGACCTAAAATATTGCGCAGGAATTTCTCATGAAAGGTTGAGTGTTTGTGACTTTCAAAATCAACTATCTAATGGATTCATTTTTTTGTAAAAAATCTGGAAATGCCTCCTCAAAAACAAGAATAAGAAATAATTAAAAAATGTCCCAAAAGTTTTTCGTTTTTCATTCAAAAATTTTTTCAAATCTTCCCCGTCCGAGAAAATTCTCTTGATGTGTTTATATATGTATACAAATTTTCAGCAAAGAATAAATAAAATTTGACTGCTTGGTAGGCCTCAGCACCTGGATTCAAATTGAGATGCAAGACTCTATAGGCTGCTGAATGACGAAGACGCAGTATCTTCGGACGCGAACGCGGCTTTATTAGCAGCAGAGCGTATGAGGCGCAGATTTTACAACAGTGAAGGTACGCGCGCGTCGCGTTCACGCCCGTTCAACTAATACTGCTTTCGCGCCTTCGTCATGCAGTAGCCTTTACCTATCCTATAATCTTACCCTAACGCGTGAGGAAAAACATCAAATACTTATATACTAGTAAATAAACAAGAATACTACTGCCACTAAAAAACTACTGAAACAAACCACTAAGCAAAAGTTTGAACAAAGGAGCAGGTTTATCGCTCCGTGCCACTGATGATGCACGTCTAAGTTATTCTAATATATGTTCCGCCAAGCTTTGCACCAGATTCGCCGCGTCGTTGAGGGTGACAGGGCACGACAGCCTCTCTGCTCCCAAAGTTCTTTAGATCATACTATCCTAGATCCCAAAGTTCCAAGAAGGCTCGACTCAAAGCGCCAATTTATTCACTCCTAATTGCAGTCCAAGTTTAGTCCCGATTCGTTATTTAATGTGAGAAAGATGATTTAAGGAGGAAGCTCAGCAGCCTGACACGAGCACACACCCTTTGCAGGGCCCGGCACGAGGTGGGCAGACGGGGTTTTCCAAAACGAATTCCCCTTTGACCCCAATAGTTTTTACGAATACCCCCTTGAGCCCAAAAATGACGCTTTGTGCTTGTGGAACGAGAGCACCGGCCACACTTCGCCTAAAAGCGCTCAAAAGCGCCCAAAATGCTCAAATTCCTCTAACTACTCCTCACCTGTATCAAGATAGAAAAGAGGGAAAAGAATAAGCAAGGAAAATGATGAACGAATGAAAAAATATCAAAGGAACGCAGTCATAGGACTGAGAGACGCCGTTCCCGCGCGTATCGATTGACTGGGGTGCGCTTTCCATCTTAGAAAGCTAGGCTGCTCATGCGATTTTGGGCTCTAACAAAGACAAGAGGAGGAGTTTCGGAACCAAAATCTCACCATATAGTAAACTTTAGGTGAACAACAGATTTATGTAAAAATTTTAAAAAATTATGTGAATTGAAAGTTTTGCCCACCTCAGGTGGGCATTAGGTGGGCAATTGCCCACCTAATTTGGAAAAAAGTTAAACAAGCTCTCATTCACATAAGTTTTCCATAATTTTTCACACATTGTTCCTTAGTCCTACTGCGCGTATACACACCAAGTCTCGCGCAATTTCGTTTTCTCTGCGCTGCAAACGAGCCATTTTTCTATTTTCTTGGTAGTGGGAAATTTTCAGAAAAAAGCTTGCCACAACCTTCATTCGCATAATTTTTCAATAAAACTCCTAAGATAAGCCCTGCGGGCCCGTGTTCATGTACCTACCAAGTTTCATACCGTATGGTCATCTGTGCGCTGCAAACGAGCCATTTGAATTCACACCTTCATTTACCAGATTTACGAAATTTTTGGAAAATGCTTATTACACCTCCCATTCACATAAGTTTTTCATAACATTTCATGCTTTGTTTCTACTAGCCTCTCTTTGTTGCTTACATAATTTGGTGCTATATCATTACGCCTGCATTGAGAACTGGTCATGTAATCATGCTGTTCAACGGCATTGCTCATGCGACGTCGCGCACGCGGCGTAGCGCGCGCGAAGTCTGCTGTGCGTTGAGGTTTATGAAAACTATTTTCCGATGAATTAGATGTATAGGGTAAGCATGATTCGACCTTCTTTTGGTTGCACTTGGAATCTTCTTCCGGGGCTCCGCCCCGGATCCCGCAAAAACAATATCCCCTTTGCTTTTTGGCCCCAAAACTATTTTCAGCTTGTCATTTGCCCACCTCGTGCCGGGCCCTGACCCTTCGATTCAACTGGCTTGGCGGCTGGAAGGCTTGGCTTCGTGAGCCAATTAAGGCTAGATATAATGGCCACCTAGCACGCGCGCCAGAGAGACGCAGACGCGTCGCGTGAGCGAGAGACCTTAATTAGGTCACAACACCCGCTTTCCAGCCGTCAAGCCAGTTGAAACCAACGTTAGCATGAGTATCGATTGAAAGCGGAAGCACACAAACAGCGAAATGAGGCTCTGCTGCTATAGCAGTTTGGCTGGCAACGCGGCAGGGCAATGAAAGGTCCGAAGGCGATTGCGGCAATGCATGTGAAAAGTTGGATAGTTTGGCGACCAGCGCTCGCGGCATTCGTACTTCTAGGAGTGCTCGCGTCGCGGAGCCGCGACACAAATTGAGTGTATGATGATCATAATCAGTGAACGAAACCACTTTGTAGTCTTCAAAAGAAAACACAACGTCTAATTATACGTGCCGAGTCTTTGTGCGTTAAATCCACTTCTCTTTTTTGTGCTATTAAGAGAGATTCAATTGCAGGACAATATGGTAATGTATCAAAGTCTTATCGTTGTGGTTATGGTTGATCTGGTGGGCTTAGCTATCATAGGTTTCATAACGGTATCCTGTTTTTGTGTTTTTGTCGAAAAGCAACGAGTCTTAAGTTTTAGCGCTCGCCAATCTCTTCAACCTTCGAAAAGACGGCTGATGCAATTGTTGAAACATTTTTCATGACCAAAGAGCGTAATGCTGGCCCTAGTTCTTTAGAACTGATAGTAGTAGGAGATATTGGAGGTAAAATTAGTACCACTTTATTCACTGATTCAATCACTAATTAAGGGCTGCCTTTTTATCCATACTATACTCGTGCTCAGCGCAAAGTTGCGCAGACCATGGCAAAATGGGCAAAGGAACACAATCTTCATGGTGTTATCAATGCTGGGGATAACATGTATTTTACTGGAGTAGATAACGAATACAGTTTTAGATTCAGAGTAAGTTCAATATAGTATACAAAGTAACAGGATCCATACCTTTCTTTATCCCCCCCCCTCCCCTTTTTACTGAAAAAAGTAGCAGCTTTTGACGAAGTGAGGGTGGCGGACAAATTTTCGTATCAGGTATGCATCAAAAAAGCTTCTTTTTGCTTTAGTCCTTCCATGAAGCTTTATAGGCTTCAACTTCAACTCTTTTGGTGTAACCACTTGTCAATCAGATCCTAACAGCCCAACAAGCTTAGTAAAAGCTGAAACACATTTTCTCATAGCTGAAGAATTTGGTTTTTGAGTTTACTGAGAAAAACAAATTTTTTGCTAATGATTGACAGGCTGATTAAGTCAGAATTCTTACGCACAAGCTTTTTTTGGGTAATTTGTGACAGTTTTTTTGCGCCTTAACTACATCTCTATCGATTTTCCATTAGCTACTTTTGATTAATATTTGCTCAATGGGGTTTTGAAGCATACTGAGCGTGATTGTTCGTAATCTAGCCCTTTAAATAGTAAAGTTTGCCAATTTTTTGCGATACAAAGCTGCAGAGATGTGAGTTTGAGGTCGCGCTTAAAACTGCTTTTTTTGTAAAAACTTCAACTCAGTCATAGTATCTTGATTTGACCGTTCGTAAGTGATAACAAATTCTAGGCAACCTAAAAGTCGCAGTCTAGTATTTGAGCGGCTTGCAACCTGCATTTGCTGAAAAAGGGAGCCTAGAGCACGAGTCAAAATTTGTTGTGAGTATTGACATAAAGGCGGTTTTCAACATCCGCAGGGGTGTCAAGACCTCTGGTTGAAGTTTTATTACTTTAAACGTAGAAACAAAAAAACTATAAAAAGTGTCATGTCATTTCTAGTTGTGAACTGTTTTTAGACAACAAAACAAATAAAAAACTTCAAACCTTTCAGAGAACTTTTGAGGAGATTTACGACGACATGGCATTGAATGTGACTTGGTTCACGATCGCCGGCAATCATGATCATTTTGGAAATATTTCAGCACAGATTGCGTATACGAACCACAGCCAAAAATGGTTTGTGGCCATATGCCTACATTTGTGACGTTGTAAGTATTCCGCTTCCAAAGGTTTTGATTGTTTATTACAGGTACTTTCCCTCGCTGTATTACAATATGTCGTACAAGCTTGGAAATACCACTGTAGACGTGCTAATGATCGATACGATCCAGCTTTGTGGAAACACCGCTAATGTTAAGAATGCTCGCATATGGGACATATTACGGCAACATCCTCCCCTGGTTTGTTAATCAAACCTCAATTTTTTTCAAAGAATTAAAACGCCGCTTCAAAGACATGGAAGTAAAGATTATATCGATCAAGTTCATTTGCAGGGTCCAGAGAACAAAACTTTGGCAGATCAACAATGGGCATGGATTGATCGTACTATGCAAGCAAGCACGTAGGGAACGTCTTAAGTTTGTATGACTTCGATTCACTGTCGGTTTTAGCGCTGACTACTTATTCGTTGTTGGGCACTACCCAATATATTCCGTATCTTCACACGGACCAACTAAATGTCTTGTGGACAACCTCAACCCTTTGCTGAAGGAATATCATGCTTCAGCATATTTTTCTGGACACGATCATAATTTGCAGGTAGTATAACATCATTTATCTACATGGTGCGCCAAAATTATTTGCGCCAAAATATTCAAAGTAATGTCACAACAATGGCAATGAGAAATTTGGTCTGGATTTAATGTCACAGAATGCCGTAAGCATACTCTACAAAAAGCACTATCAAGATACCAAATCGGTCTTTATTTAGTGAAGTAAGAATTGCAAAAAGCATGTTCGTGACAGAAAAAACGCAAGCTGACGCAAATTATTAAATAGTCAAAATTTTTGTTTTGAATGCTCCTAAAGATTCCGAACCTCGGTGATCTCAAAGTCAAAGATTAGATCTATTTTATGGCGAAATCTTCACCTGAAAGAAGCGATCACTAAAAAGATACATACTGGGCAAGTTTGTGGGCCTCTACCCGCGTGCAGCACGCGACAAACTCAGAGAAATATCATGAATTTTTACCGAAAAGCAAAACAGGCAATTTTACTTCTTTCAACTAGGATACAATGTTGTAGAACCAAGAAAACAATATCAAGCTTGACCGCTGGCTGAGCCGGTCTTATGTTCGTATGGCGCTTAATGATACACGCGCAAATAATTGTGGCACACCCTGTAAACTTCTATTAAACTCTTGTTTCTAACTCGCTCAGGGCAATCTGCTACTTCGAGTCGAGAATAGCGACTGAACTCAATTCTCTAAAAAAACAGGCCGCTTTTTTTAGAGATACGCCTTCTTGCTCAAAAAGTATTCTTTTTAACCAAAACAAAGGGATTATTCGATTTGTTTTGCATGTATGTATCAGGAACGCAGTCAAAAATAATATCGCACTTGAAGCTTTCAAACACTTACAGCAATAGCTCGAGAAGTTTTACAGCATCTCGTATTGATAGAAGTAGGTCCCCCGCTACAAGAACTTTATTCTTGTTAAATTCAACGCAAATAAGGCTGCGACTGAAGGAAAATAGCAGTTGAAAACGCGTTCAACGCGGCGTTGGCCAAATGGACCTTATCAACTTTTTACAGTTTCACAAATAAATTGATGTGAGGAGTTAAAGTGAAAAAAATGTTACAGTGTTAGAAACTGAACAAATAAAAGGGTTAAACATTTGTTTTATTAGTCTGGTTGATTTGATGTATGCCCTTCCATGCGCAATTTCAGCAAAAATGCATCATAATTTTTTGTACAAGCTCTTTTTTGCTTTCCCATTCTCATTCTACTTTGACATGAAATGTTATTATATACATCATTTCCCCATGTTATAACAATACTATAATTTGAGTTACGCAATGACAAGAGTGCTACGGGTTACAATGAAGGCTTATTTAGTCTGATACTTGGAAGGAGATAAAATAAGAGGCTTCTTTGCGGGACTAAAAGTTTGCCGCAGTTTTTTGAAGTAGCAAGTAAACTTTAGAACATAGCTCATCATGGAATATCAGCCTTTATTATTTGTAAATCGATTGATAATTACAAAATTTCTCATTTGTAATTGCAGCACTTCACCTCAAAGTCAAACACAGGTCAAGATATACATTATGTGGTCTCTGGTGCTGGTTCACGTTCTGACTATTCCGACAGCCATCGGAATAAAAACTACGGGGCTGCTTTCCGGTATCGGTAAGTTTAGCCATTGGATTATTCTACCGTTTTGTAAAAAAGTAATCTTTTAGATACCCAAGCTCTCGGTTTATCTCAAATCCATTTTCGCAGCTTGGATTCTCCGATGGTGGTTTTGTATATATGAGCCTTACAAAAGCCTATGCCAATCTTACCTTCATCACTGGGGCTGATGTACAGAAGTATCGCTTGTTTATATATCCCAGAAACTTAACTTGGCTACGGAAACCTCGTTGAGAGTATTTTCCCATATTTCATGTTCTTACTTTTGTTTACTGCCAGTTTTCGATCCCTTTTGATGGCGTTAGTGAGAAATGCTCATGTATTAGATTATCTAGACTCTGTTGTTTTGCAGTTATTCGCTGTACATCATAACGATGCTACCACATCTTAATTCTCCTCATTGTGATCTCAACCTTCCACTCTGCGTTTGCTCTTAGCATTGCTCTTAGCCATTTACTTCACTGTGAGCGACAATGGCAATGTAAATACTTGCACATTGCTTCACATTTCCAAGTTGAACCGCGTATGTATCGTCGAGTCATTTGCAACTTAATATGCGTAGTGCACACTGTACACGCTAGCTGACAAGCTGCGAAATAAAACCTGCTCATTTTCGGTGATTTCTCCTTGTTTCCTTGTTTCTTTTGTTTGAGTTGGTCAAATGCTAGTCAGTAAAACATATTTCTACATTGTGTTAGGCTAGAAAATGTTTTACTGAGAAGTTACTAGCAAGGGTGCCGTCGCTAGTAGGGCTTAGTGTGCAATCTCACATATTAAGTCACAAATGACTCGAGATTAGAAATGTGCGTTGTTGACGTTTTAAGGAAAATCTTTTGACGAAAGAACATCTTCATCATTTGTACAAGTTTGGTCATATATAAAAGAGTGTCGCTGTCAGCTGGCACGTCCGTGTTTTGAGATCAGTCAACGGCAACTTTTTGCTCCGTGGCTCGGCCACCTTTGATCTTGGTCACCATGGAAAATCGAAGCACCGCCATAAGAAATTTTGCCTGCAAACAGGGAGATAAAACAAATGGAACGAAATCACCATAGTTTTATGAAACATAAAAATCAGTTGTTAAAATTTATTAGGGTGTCCCATAATTTTTTTTCGATTTTACAAATTGTATTTTTTCCTGTCCTTTTCTTTACTGAATGCAACTTGAGTTACCACAGGTTAGAGCAAAGCAAGATCTGCAAGATGGTCACTAAGCATCCGCCTAAATCGCATATCACGTGAAGTTTACAGCCAAATTCCCATAGTACTCAAAAACGGAATTTGGCTTACGCGTATTTCCAACCGTTCCACAACCTACAGATTCACAGTTCACCGTGAAAAAATACTTGATGTGTCAGACATTTTATCATTGAATTTCCGAATTTCTTCCTTTTCTCGAATGGAAGAGAAAATTGGCCAGGATTAAGTGGCAAACTCCGCCTGTACTAGTCGACCCGGATTCCTTCCACACATATACTCTATGCATAGAAGAACTTTGGGTTTGAAATTGGCTATTCCACTTCAACATACATTTGTGCACATCCAGTGACAGCCACTTGTAAACTACAAAATTCAAGATGATATCAGTTTCAAGCATGCTTTGTTTATTGAGCTTTCCCTTTGTACTCATCACATTTGTGCACGCATCTATAGAGTTCTTAAAAGCAGTGTCTCATCAAAATTTAGTTGCCAAGATTTTTGCATTTTGCAAGCCTGTCGGACCCTGTCTAGCACTGCATGGGCTTAAAATCGCACATAGTTCCCAAAAATCCCGTTTTCTGGAGGCCCCGCGGAAGCAACGTGGACGAGTTGTACCTTCCAACTTCAGCCTTAGCCACAGTGGCAGCAACAGAGGGGAGGTGGATGCCAAGTGGAGGGACATGTTCAAACGCGTAAGGGGGGAGACCGAAGGAGTCGTCCGCGCGTACCAACTCGCTCTGCACATACCACTTTGAGCGAATTTTTCTCAGCGTGGAGGGGGTCAGATTGACTGGGACTTGTTGCAATGGCCTATCTAGAGGTTCCTATAATAGAATATGTAAAGATCCGCGCGACCTCAACTTTGGTGAGACACTGCCTTTAATCCAATTGTCGCTATCTCTACTTGCAGCCAAGTGCGTTGTTTTCTATTCACACTGGATGGCAAAACCTTTGCTTCGATAAATTGTTGAATAAAATTATTAACGGACGAATGTGACAGCATCAAAACGTTACGAATCCCAATATTCTAAAAAGTTCAATCCAACTATCGTTTGGATAAACCGATATTTGATAAGGTCTTAGCGTAGCGGTTGTCAACTCAAAAAGAGGCTTTTTCGAGAAGGGGCGTCAAAATTAACTCAATTCAAAGGAAACTCGATAACTTTTTAAGTCATTAATCTAGAATCATGGTTTTTTCTGAAGAATGAGGATCTCCATACGAAGTGATTCAAGGACTACAAAGTGGAAAACGAAGTTATGTGACATTTTTCGTCCACATCAAAAACGCTGACATCTCAAAAATTCTTCTATAAGATTGGGCTTCTTCACGCGCATAAAGAAATGCTATGCAAAGGATAAACTCGTGGCGACTATGAAAATAGAAGCAAGAGAAAATAAAAGCTATAAATCGTTCAGGAGTCGAATAGATTAATTGTAAGACATAATGTTTTGTGAAGCATAATCTAAGGAATAGACAGTCCCGTAGCGGCAGTAAATTCTACTTCGAAGTTCGAACTAAAATACGGCATTATAATTATGGTGATTTGAATGCGGCGCAGTGCCTTCCAAGTAGAAACTGACTCCGTAGTGCTATTTGCACTGTTGCACTGTAAGACTTCAGTTACGCTGATTTATCTTGATGTAGAGGCTGCCCGAAGCTAAGGATACTGAACTTCAAAAATGTTTGCTTCCGAAAAAGTATTACTTGTTGCCATAATAGCCCATACTTACCGGTCACCCTGTACCATTGGCTAGCCGCGAGTGAAGTATCTAAAGAAGGCACTTCAAACTTTGTGATCTTCAACTTTATGAAAAGTATAAAGTGTAGCTAAATATACTGCTTCAAAAACGTCTTACAAAGGAGTGTCAGTCAGTTAGTCAGCAATGACAGGCTTTGACCTTGCATACTATGCAAACAAAAAATCTGTCGAAACGTCATACGGCAGAAAAAATCTGCTTATCGCTGCACTTCCTTCACAAAAACAGTTCAAAACCAGAAAGTTGACGTAGTGCTTATCTAGACCATTGTGCCCTTTTCTGAACGTCAATATGATATGCTGATGGAGAGAATGGGGAAGATGGAAGTGTGGAGAATGACAATGGCCCGTAGTAAACCTCCGTCAGGGCATCTCTCTTAAGGCGGACCGGAGTTGATCTCATTGCGCCTCAGCACATTGCCAGGGGAGCGATTGATTTGAAGCAGATCATTACTGGACGTTCGCGTTTTCAAATGTGGAACGTTTCTGCCACTTGTGCATTAGTAGTCAAATGGATAAGACTAATGCGTTTCAAGCGGCAGAGCCGTGGTTCGAGTGCGGCTAGCGGAACCATTTTTGCTACTTGGTCTGGCGACCTTTGATAGCGGCCGTTATCGAAAAATCGATGATAGCAGCTATCAGAGATTTCACCTAGCAAACAACGAGATAAAACAAATATACAAAAATTTGGCACTCATACGAAGAGAAATTACCCTTGGCGAAAAACGAATGAAAAGATAAAATTACCTCTTTGTCATCTGAAGCGGTTTTCCGTAAAAAACGTGCATCATCTGTAAGAAAAATGCAAAAAAAAACCTTTTTTTTCGATTTGGTCGCGCAATCAGCTGTTCATCGATCCTCACTCACTTAGGCGCCCGAAATTGTGCAGTTTTGGGAGTTTTGCACCGCAAAAGAACGTCAGCTGCGGTGTTTCGTAAGTTACTCGGGAGCAACTTACGGAGGTTTTCTCTGTGCTCTCCTCTTTAGCATAGTATTTACTTATGTCGTCGCCCGACTCATCTCCGATGACTCGGTTGGGAGCTGATCTCCCTGCCGGGCTTCATCTGAAGCTCACCTGTAGGGTGACCTTGCATACTTACACCACGGAAAAGTGGGCAGTCCTCATCTCACCCGCAAAGTCTCATATGAGGGCCTCAGGGGAGATCGTCTTCCGTGACCGAGCTTTACTACGGGCCAATTTTTTGCGGATTTTTTGTTTGTGCATTTCCATACAAAAACGAAACTATTGTAACGGACTACTGCTACATGACATCAAAACGGAACCTAGTAGATACATACATAATTCGCCACAAATCGGATGCTGAAATAGCTAATACACAAGTAAGTCTGAGTAGAAGTGATCACCTAAGGTGCTTATGGCAATGAAGTGGCGTAGAATTATTACGAAACAGCTCAGGGAGAGTTTCCTCATATTCGAATTTCCTTCGGCAAGTTCCCTAACTGCGTTATACTCGTAGTCATTTCTCTCAGGTAGTTTCCTTGTTGCCTGGTAGTTTCCCCATTCTCGTACTAGTTATGAGACAGCCGGAGTGCGAATATATCTCATCCAAGAGTATTTATTTTACAGAGTGCTGGAAAGATTACCACTGATCCATTTGAGTGCTAAGAAAAATGTTACTACTGTTTTTGTCATTTGCACATTCTTTTTCTCCAATAAACGCTCATAAGTTTTCGTGCAGGAGCGCGCCGCAGATAAAGAGAACAGATCTGGAATCAGAGTATTATGCCCTCCAACATGGTATACAAATCATCTCAAAAGGCCACTTCGATCAACAATCCTTCCCTTGTAAGTAGGTTCGTCTTGGAAAAGTAGCTTCTCAAGATCACATTCACCAAGAAGGACACCGTCAACGATGACAACGCGAATAAACTGTTTATACAGAAATGCCATAAAGGCACACTTGGAAATGGCAGAATGAACTAGTGAAGGAAAAATCAAGGCACAAGATGTCAGACAGCTATCATTGAAATGGTGCAAAGATGCATACGTTTCTTTGATTTTGTAAAGTTGAGCGGGTCAGTATCGGACACGAGCGCCCATCACTCTCAATGATACGGAAAGTACAAAGCATAGACAGAGTTATCTTTTCGATCCTTTATCTACAATATGTATAATATATACATATTTACATGTACTGAACTATCTACACTACATAGATAATTTATTTGAACGCACACCTAGTGACGTCTAACTATAACTAAAGCACATACGTGCAGCATAGAAGGCTGGAAGTTGCGCCTTGGACGGATTTTATATCATTCGGAGTTCTAATATTTGGAATCTCGGCTTTGTTTTGTTGGTCAAAAGTCGGAATGGCCATCAATTTGATCATTCGAATTCATGCTCAAGTATTGTAGAAAGTATAGTTTAGTGTAGTAGAAAGTATAGTATAGTATTGTAGAAAGTGCCATATTTCTGAATCTTATTCGATAGAGAAACTTTTGGAATTTTTGATTTTCGGATATTTTTCGGAAATCAAGGACTCAGA